AATATTATAAATGTGCTCCTACACACTGTAATGTCACATGCTACTCATCTGCAAGGTTTAAAATTCCTAGGTCTTGTAGATCCTTGAAGTTTTTTGAGAGCCCATCGTACATCTAAATTCATAATTACATGTATGTTCTTACCAATTAATTATATTACGTACTACCTGCATATGTGAATTTTAATATTACACACTTTTCTGTGAAAAATGTTTGTCCCGTTATTAAGGAATAGGAATAAAATGTTCAGTAAGCAGTGTATTCTTAAGGTTCCAATTATTTTCGCATAAAACACGACTACTTCACAGCGTTTATGAATTAGCACAAGTTTATTTTGGCATTTTTATTCCTAGTAATTTAAATATTCCTTTAAATACAAATTAAAAGGCTTAAATTTCATTTGAAATGCCTTAAGTTAAATGACGTTATACATTCTGTACCAGATATTTTGGAATGCTTAATGATGTGGAGATAATTAATTGGAATTTTTGAAATCAGTGTCATCATTTATTATTTTAGAAATTAGCCTTAGCAGTTTTGTTTTCAATTAATGCAGAAATTGGTGCTAATTAATGATCTTTAATAGCAGACGTTAATAGGAATCAATATCAATTTTTGAGAATGTGTTGAACTAATTGCCAATGGCGGAATGAATACCATCATTAATTAATTAAATTAATTGTCATATGCGTGTTTCTATTAACAAAATGAATCCACAAAATGATGAGTCTTGTTATCTGTGTAAGTATAATTAAGATGACAAGTGCAGATAAATATTTCGTGCTAGATGGAGGAAAAAAATACAAGACCTGCAGATGCAACCTACAGATGAAATGCTAAACATATAATTTACTAATTGTAATAAGGCAAGAGAAATAAAAAATAAACATTCATACCGCTGAATATTCGGAAAAATTGTTCACTGCGAGTTAGACAACATTGAAAACTAAAATCCGAACTAACCATTGAATTTTCATAAAATTTTGAAATTATTATTTACATGTTGTACCAGACATTTACAGTAACACAGCAATAAAATACTTAGTCACTTCCCTAGAATATGGTTCTTGGTTTGCAATTCTAATTATTTTTATAGTAGAAACACACACACATACACAAAAAAAGACTTTCTATTTTACCTCCAAAGGATCGTTTTTTTTTTTTTTTTTTTTCAACGCTTTGTGTGTTACTTTTATTTATTAAAAATCATTTTATTCGCACTTAAACTATAAAATTCAGTCCAACTGCAATATCACAAAATAATTTAAAAAGAGAATATCTTTAGAATTTCCAATAAACAGTCTCTTTTGCTGGAGATAAAAATGTTTGTTTTCCTGCATAGTGTTGCCATTGCTCGCTGAGTTTGTTAATTAAAAATTCGTTAAAGTTTTAAAAAATACGAAATAGCTAATAAAACAAATTCCAAATTTGAATTTGAGGTTCCAGATACCCATATTCGAATAGAGGACTACGTTATTCAAAATTTGATGTCTCTAGGTACCGTCATTTTGTCATACAAACAGATTATTGATTATTTAATTTATTCAAATATAATGCAGGGCTCTAATATTTGGTAGCAACAATGTGAAAAGTGAAATGCTGTTTTATAAAGGACGACGCAAAATGCCTAAACTGAATTAATAACCCTTCTGGGAAAATTACCCCTTTGGGCTAATAAAATATTTAGTTGAAAAAAATATTTCTGATATATACTGAAATATACATGTTATAGTGTAACGTTTCGCAGCTTTCTTTGAAAAGTCTTCCAGCCTCATTCCAGAACAGCACACATGGAACATGAAATTTCCCGTCATTTTATAAACAGTTGTAGTCGTTTGGCTGCTGTGTATGGTTTGCTTCCAAAATTTAAAATTATTATGAATTACCGTGCTCTGAAAATATCTATAAAATAGTTTTGAATGTATTTTTTCGTTTTCCTAGTGGGTGAATACGCTTCTTGACTTTAGCATTCATCACTATTCCCACGTTACGGCTATAAACTTACGATTTCATATTTGTGAAATTCATTCTAATGAAAGAGAATCATGCGTGCAAGAAATATAAGTTCGAATTTATTATTAAGAGAAAGGTGAAAATTCTAATTTTTCAATTTAGTACAATGCAATTCTTACGCGGCCCTTGAAATTGAAAGTTTGCTTTTGCGTTTTAACGGAGGAAATATTATAAGAAATTTCAATATTTTTTCAAGTGGGAGTTTTAGATTTCAGGGATAGTTTTTGTAAAGTTATTTTGTCAAACTAGGGGGTGCCATATAAATAGAAAGTTTCATTGTGTTGTTTTGTTTTGTTTCGTTACAGAGGACGATTGCATAATTCATGTTTTGCATATTTTTCCAAACAGCACAACCTGATCAAAATTGTCTGCATCTTAAAAACTGCCCTACTTAACTATAGCCGAAATAATTTTTACGAGCTTAAAACTCATCATTCAAAAGTTATTTAGCTGTGCATTTGTTTTGAAATACTCTGCAAATTCGTACAGTGATATCATATATTTATTTCACCTAAATAAGTGAATGAAATATGTAAATAAATAAATGAAAATATGTAAAAGTTTTCCTTCATAAAATAATGTAATGTGAAAGTATAATAATGCATCAATATAAATTTGCAACTAGTAATTATGAAATTATCAAACATATTTGATTCAGTACCTTAGTCATGGTGTATGTGTATTATACACCTAAAGATATGAAAAATCCAGGGAAGAAAGAGTCATATTACATCTAGCTAATGGACTTTGAATTTTTTTCACCATAAATCCACCTCTGCTATTCATTGCGTGTACTTTATATTTCTAAATAAGAAAAATAGGAACCTCATTCAAGGTGTTTGCCAATCCAACGTATAGGTAGAGCAAATCAGTGTAATCTAGGAATTTTGAAGTTACGAAAGAAATGAAGATTTGCAAGCACTGAAACACAAAGACCATAATTGAAACACAGCGGGAAAACATATTGTTTTTCTTTTATAGTTATTAAAAATTATCTTAACGTTATCTTATTTTGGAAGAAAATAAGTTTTAAAGGAATGGTACAAAAAAATTGTATAATGCAAAACTTTGTAATAAAAAACACATTTATTTAGTGTTAAATTCTTTCTAATTAGTGAATGTTAATTATCATAAAAACTTCCAAAGGATATAATTATGTCCTTCCTCTCGTTGAAAAATGATGGATTATCACAGATTAATAATTTTTCAAGAAAACCTATCTGTAAACATGAAAATAAAAGTACACGCCATTAATTATCCTAAATATTTACCCACATGTCATCAGAGGAATAAATAGGTCTACAATTTCTGCCACTTTATTATTATGTAAGCACATATTAAAAGTAAAAACTTAAAATGCCTGAAATTATTACTTATTTAACATGGCAGATATTAATGTATTATACTTTTAACACTTTTACGAATAATGCAGTATAGCAAAAAGTAAATATATTTATCGAAAATTGCAATAAACCAGAGGGAAACAAGAATTATTTTGCTAGTAGAAATTTTATATTGCCTTAAATTTTGTGCCATTCACTCAAATATACTTTTTACAAAGTTTTTTTTTTTTTTTTTTTTCCAAATAAAATAACGGTTATAAAAGAGACTACAATTACTGATGATAAGAAAACAACTGCTGACGACTGAATTCAAAATGCGGACTTTAAAATTCAAGCCAAAGATAGTGTTGTCGAAGACAATCGTTATCATTAAGGCATACCAAGGACCGTAAATAATATGAATGTTGCTTAACAATTTAGATTCGATTTCTCACTTTTTCTCAAAATGTGGACTATGCGTTTGAAAATTTAATCGCTTTATAATTCGCTTCAATTTTGAAGAATTTTAGTTTAAGTACTCTTGCATTCCTTTGGTCGGATGAATTTAGAATGCAGTGTTCTAGCCATGCATTCGCAATTTAAACATGTTTTAATTGTAATTTATGCATAACACTAACGTTTCTTGAAAAATTCATGAACTCTTTCCTCTATTGTTGAAAATTCTGTTGTAACAGGTGCAAGGTAAACAAACGACTCTTAATTCATAAAAACACGCCTTATGAAGAAATATATGTTTAAATATTGATGGATTTAAAATTAGCAAAGCAACAATCTAGTGTTGGCTTAGATTTAGTCAACTCAGTCGATTCGGAGGGAAAATATGGTACGAACCCCTCTTCATTAGGAGCAAAGAAGACTGGACTGGCAAGACTGGAAAGCAGCGTAGATTGTAAGATCGTCTATATAAGTCTTCGGCTGTATTTGAACCTTTACTTCTATAAATTTCTTTTACTCTAAGGCGATCACAAATAGAATCACATGAAGCTTGAAGCAGGAGTCTCAGATGATAAGACGCAGTATATACATTTATCATCTTTAAAAGATAAGCTTCGGCTGAGGATCGAGCATACGACCTTCAGATTTCTCTTTCCTTGGGATTAAAAGACTTATTGAGCAGCCGGCGCAACGATAGAACTCATACGCTACGGCAGTAAAGCGAACCAAAAGGTAGCACCATCTGTCGGCAAAAATTAAGTCTTGCAGATTTATTTGCTCCTGATGAAGAAGACCCTGCACTGTTTGCCCTAAAAATCTATTGAGTTCTTGACTAAACCCACGCCAAACATAAAAATATTACTTTGCTAATTTTATGTTTCCCCTTGGCTTGTGTCTCTTCTGTTTTGATTAAGGAACTTCTTAAGCAAACAAGGGAATCGAATGAATATCTTAGATACCTAGTAAAAAAAAAAAAAAAAAAAAAAAAACATTTGGCTTATGCAGAGCAATGCATTCTGCGTTTCATTTACACTTATTACCAGATATTTGAGAAATTGGGATTAGAATAAATAATTTAATTCCAATGAAATATAAGTTACATATAGTTAAGGGCTGTTAAGTTAAATTACCTTTGAAACTTCTATGTTGAATGAATTTATGATGCTAACATTTGATTAAGAAAACAATCATATCATTTTCTTGCATTTCAGATATTTCTCACAGTTGTCAATGAATATATGAACTGGTCACGATCATTTCTCCAAGCAATGGATATTTTTGATAGTACGGTAGAAGCTCTTGGTGATGCTCTTATTGTCGCTCCTGTCATCCGTGCAGGGACATTTCACAGCGGTGGAATACCTCGTGAAGATACTTACCCACCTCCTTCTGAACCATTAAATGACGGGAAGAAGACTTACTTCTACATCTTCAACCATCAGTCAGAATTCGGAGATTATTCGTCTAGATTAGGATGTGTAAGAGGGGAAGATTTGCCTTACGTTTTTGGAGCGCCTCTAGTGGAATCTCTTTCACATTTTGCTGCTAATTACACTAAAAGCGAAACTTCTCTATCTGAAGCTATTATCACATTCTGGACTAATTTTGCTAGGCATGGGTAAGTCCTTACTGATTCTATTAGTTTTATTATAAAGAAATGAGGTACTGTAATAAACTAAGTTCTTAAGTATCAAGTTTCCGAAGTTCACCTTAAAAAGTGTACCATCTAGATAAAACAATGGTACACGTTAGTACGAACAACCGTTCCTTCACAAAAAAGAAAGGTTGTTTGTATTAACATGTTCGTTCGACTTCTCGAACAGACGGAAAGACTATGTTCATTCCACTCTTTTTTAACAGTAGAAAGGAGATAGTCTTTTGAATGGTGAAATAGAGTTCAGTAAGCACGGAATATTGCAGTATACTAAATAATTTGCTTGTTTTGGAGTAATTACTAAATTATTAAAAATTAGAATTAAAACAGTAATAATCATATTGTCTGCCAAGTTTCCACTGAACAATCTGAAGTAAAATATCATGCAATGGAATTGTTTGTGAACAGCGGTTTGCATCAACATGTATTGCTGAACAAAAAGAACAAGAAATTAGAGAGCTTTCAAAACATTTTGGTAGCATATGCCGTGAAGTTTGATGTTACGAGATGAAAGAATGATGTCCAAACTTCCCCAAAGCAGGAAAATTTAATCTGCCTTTTATATAAAACCAGAAATATTAAAAGAAGCATAATAAGACTAACCCAAACGATATTTCTTTGTTTAATTGTTAAACTAACTATATGACAGAAATAAAAAAATCCTTATGGTTCATTTTTCATATTAAATGTTCACGTACAAATGTTTCAAGTCAATCTCTTGTATTTAAACAACATATGAAGTTGACGGCATCCTTCCAAATAGTTTACCGTATTTTCATGACAAAAGAAACGTAAGAATGATTTCCTTTGATGCAATAATAAAAAATGAAGGCTGTAGAGTCATTAGATTATTTTGAAGCAGGAGATGTGACAGATGTGCAATGCCCACGCCGGGACTCGAACCCGGACCTCTCGAAGACGCGTCGAGTGTGCTACCGTTACACCAGAAGGCATACTGGAGGGAGGGAGAAAATATTTTACATATTTCCCTTTTAAAGAGCGACTGGGGTTAAAGGACCCAATCTGGAATTACATTCTACGATAAGTTTCAAAACGTTAAAAAAGAAGTAAAACAAATCAAATTCATAGGATTGAAAAGAAAATGCGATTTTATTATCGTATGTAGGTTTCAGCTTTTATCTGAAACAAATTTAATTTAGCGACTTACAGTAACCCTAATAATTTATTAACAGTCCACAGAAATAATATATTACACATAAAATCGGACATTTCTAACAGCAAACTCTAACAGCCAACTTGTGGAAATATTTGCTGTGATATCATTTCATCTTAAATTACCAGTGTGTGGATATAGGTATGCATTTATTTCAAATAGAAATGAATTATTTAATCAAAATGTAGTTTTGCATCCGTTTCATTGGATCAATTTTCTGTGAGATTTGCTACGAATATTTACCTCAAACGGTAATAATTTATAGTTTACAAGCACACAAAAATTTCATTTATTAAAAAGAAGAAGCATCCCCCTTTTTTAAACGCAAAATAATTCCGCAAGCCTAAGTGTTTTTTATTATCAAAATTAACAAATTTCAGAATACCTGGTTACGTTGAAAACTATTGTTTTAAATGGAGATACAGGATTTTCTTACTGCCTTTGTGAAATTTAGGAATTTCATGAATGGAAGAAGTAAATAATTCGATTTTACATAGAATATTTGTGACTAAGAATTGTGTTCATTAGAATATGTTTCGAGACTGAAATATACAAAGCTTTAGACTAACTATCTATAACTAAACTAGTGCTTGCAAACGCTTGACATGTATTAAGTTGGTAATTTAAATAATTTCGCTGTCCTTACCCTCTTGCATAACCTTTAGATGTGTTTGGAAGATATGTTATCAATGTTGGCAAATTTTTTTAGAATTAAATTTCTACAAATACCTTTTTTCTAAAAAAACGTTCCTTTCTTCAGGATGAAACATATTTTAAAGCACTTTTAAACAATTACAATACGATACTCCTGCACAATACACAATATTTTAGAACGGCAATGCACTATTTCACAAGAGCAATAGTATACAATATTTCACAAGAGCAATACAGACATATAATATTTCACAAGGGAAAATGTTTCAGTCAAAAGGAGTAAACGTAAGGAAATTGATACTAAATATTATTATTAATGACACAAAATCATTTATTTCCAACAATATGCACCATGTCTTCAAAAAAACATTCAAAATTCTTTTGGAAAGAGGGTTAAAATAGACGCCCATTTATTTGAAGAAATTTAATGCTTGCATTTTTCGAAATATAAGTAAATTTACAGAAAAAAAAAATACTGTCATAGAAGAATACACTACTTTGCTTGCAGTATCTGTAGCCCTATTTCTCAATAAAGAAGAATTGTTAGTTGTAATCGATTGAATGAGGTTATTTCAGCAGAGAGCATTCTGTTGCAACAAATATCTTCGATATGATTAATTAGGTATATAACAGATTTAAACCATTTTAAAAAACTCGTATCTCCATTTGAAATCGTGGACTGTTAAAAATCTGATTAAAGCATGTGAAGACGATTCGCCTAAGAACAGGGATGCCTTCGTGGCTGACATTTTAAGATAAACTAGCTTGTATTCAAGTTGCTCACTTGGAAATAAAAATAACAAAATTTTTTCTGAAATAAAATTTTAAAAATAAAATAAAACGTAATATTTTAATAAAAATAAAATTTAATAGATAATAAAACTTGCAATAAAATTTTAAATATAGAAATAAAAAACTGAAAGATAAAATTAGACTAATAGAATTGCACCCATTAGTGAATAATATCTATCCCTGCATAGAGTTTAGTTTCCTTTGGCAGCATAAACTGGCTCAAAACTCCTAACAGACTTAGAGCGAATTATTGCTGTGTCTGAAAAGAACTGCAAAGTCTTAAGAAGTTTTAAAAACGAACCTTTTATTAAATCAGAACTAACTTGAACATAAATGCACTTCCCATGCTTGACTGCATCACCAGGTACATCGCTACTCGTGGCGATGCTAACTTAACAGTCAAGTTCAAAAATTGAAACTAAGCCTATTAGTCAAGAGACTAAACAGTTTAACCAAACTAAACTGTCTCAGATTTTAATCGTAATGACAATTTGAATTTTGGCAGCACTAACGAAAAGCCGAATAAATACAATCTTATCTGAGCTGGTCAAACCTAGTAACGTGGCCTCGAGAAGCAGGAACACGTTTTGTCTTAAAATCCAAAACCCTCGGCTTAAATACTCTCGAACTAGATTTGAATTCCGGTGAGTAAGCGGAAGGGAAAAAGGACAGTGAAGATATAAATAATAATAACTTGTTAATTAAATAATAATAGTAAACCCATACATATTTAAATAAGTATTATTTAATATATATTCTTGCTTGTAATATAAAAAATTGTTGAATTTTGATCAAAAGAAGGTCTTGGGATTTTAAAATTTTATTTCTTAAAAGTGGGTGCTTTTTACTTCCTTGTACGAAGTAAAGAAGGTATTGTAATCATGAAAACTTTCGGGTACCATATCTCAACGAAAATATCCATTCTGACCGCTGTCGAATGCAATTGAACGATGTTTTTGCGTGACTTCTGTACGTAAGGACAGAATAAAGGATTCTTTTTCCCCAAACGAATTATAAAACTGATTTACAATGGATTCATAAGAGATTTTTTTCGTGGCGTCTGTACGTGTATACGTGCGTACATATGTATGTATGTATCTGGCATAACTCAATCGAATAACCTTAGAACGTTGAAATTTTGTATGTGGGACTGCTATAACATATACATGTGCACCTCCTATTTGGTTGCGATTGGCAGCACCAAAAAGTGTATAAATTTACAGTGGTGGCCAAAATTGTGGACACTTTTGGAAATTTTTATGTTCGTGAACTTTGTATGCTTATAGAAAACGTTACGTTTCACAAAATGCAAACTTGTATATATAATTTAAAAGAGAATTTATTACCGAATTCAATACAAAACACAAAAATTCAGTTATTTGCAATACAAAAAAAGTTAAACAATAATATTTATCGATATACATTAGATAGTGACGATTGCAGTGAGTTATCAGCACTTAGTAGGGTACACTTTATTTTTGATTACAGCTTCACATCGACGTTTCATTGAGCTGATTAGAGTTTTAAGCTCTTCTTTCGTTATTACATGATGCCAGGAAACAATTATAGGCTCAATTAGTTTCCTTTTATTTGATGGGCACCTCATTCGGACAAGAGTTTTCAAACGGTGCCACAAATTTTCGATAGGAGTGAGGTCAGGTCGATTTCCTGGCCATGACAACAATTTAATGTTCTTTGTATGAAACCACTCTTTCGATATTTTGGCCGTGTGGCAAGGAGCAGAATCCTGCTGAAAAATAAACGAAGCATTGTTGGGAAAGAGATCTCTGATGGAAGGTAAAAGTTTTGGTTCTAGAACAGTGTCAATGTATTTTCTGGCATTCAGTGTCCCATCGATGAGATGAAGGCGATCAATACCATCTGCTGACATGCTTGACCAAATCATAACACTAACTGGGTTCTTCACAGTTGCTTGAATGCAGTCAGGATGTAGATCTTCTATTCTACGTCTATTACATATTTTCTCCCATCACTACCGAATAACGATATCTTAGTTTCACACTCCATATAACTTGTGACCTCTGATCATCTGACCAATTAATGTGTTCCTTTGTACACTGTAGTCTTTTTTTGTCGTTGCTGAAAATTAATATAAAGCTTTTTACGTGGAATTCTAGCTCTCAGTCCAACATCTGTTAATCTTCTCCTGATTGTTCTTGAACTGACAGAAACACCAGCATCATTCAGATCACTTCTGATGGCCGCTGATGTCTGTAATCGCTGATGACATTTTTCTATCTTGGAGACATAGTCTTTTTATTCTTCTGTCATCAATAGATGTGGTGCACCTTTTTCGGCCTTTTCCTTCTTTGTTTTGTATTGA